GCGCACATCATAGTGACAGCTTGTTCAGTTGTTCAGTTGTTCTGTCTTTTGGTCTATTTACATATTAGGGTTTTATATGGAGATATTGTATATGGAAAAGATTATATGGCATAGGCTGATGTGATGAGACATTGCATTGCTGTTTGAGACATCTCATTGTTAATGCTCCAGAAGTAACCCACACTTGCTTTGGAACCAGTGATGGCTCAGATGACCAGGGCAGGTGCTGTCTGTCAGAGATGAGCTACAGAAAGAAACAAACTGCCCCACATGCAACGTGGCTGGCTCTGTAAACATTGATGATTTTAGTTCCCTTGGTTAAGGGTGAATTTCAAACAGAAGCAGAGACTTTAGATACAGGTCTGTGAGCACAGAAGAGCAGGAAGAAAGGTGGTCAGAGTCCAGATGTTTCAGGAGAAAAGAAGCATGAATGGCAGTGATCAACTGTCAACCTGCAATCATGGGAGCAATTTTGTTTCCAAAGCAACCAAGTCACTAAATTTGTTAACAGGAATAAAAGAACTTAGCAGAATTTGATCTAAACTTCTGTCAAGCAGGAAGTAAAACCAGAGGCTTTCAGACATGACCAGAGTTCTGTGTGACATGTGTGCCTTACTTAACACAAAAGGCATTTCTGGAGCCCCTCTGAGTACTCATCTGTCTTTTACTATATTGTAATCTTCTGAAAGGAGAGTGGATTCTTTAGCTCTACACTTAGGATACCGGGGCAGGTGATTTTTAAACTGTCAGTTCAGGCTTCATAACCCGCAGGAGCTGAAATGCTCATTGGAATGTATATAAACGCAAAACTATCTAAATCATGAAAGAGACTCCATTCTTCAGTAACTTTATGTTACCACACTTCCTAGTTTGAAGATTATAAAGTCAACTGTGCACATGACTTCGCACATCTTTTACATGTTCAGGAACATTTTCTTACAAAGCACCAAATGTTTCTGTAACTATCTATATAAATACTATATAAATCTTTCTCTGTGTGAGTGTGTGTATTAATTTGTTATCAGAATAATTCTATTGGTCATGTTCAATATATACTAATAAGGTAATTCAGACACACACACAAACACACACACACACACACACACAGAAGTATTTTATAAAATACCCTTCAACTGTCCATCCCTAACCATTGGCATGGTCTGTTCCTGACATCCAACCATTGACATTGTCATGAGTTGATGATCTAGCATCATCCTAAACCAGTGGTCAGCAAACTGTGGCTTGTAAGCCACATGCGGCTCTTTGGCCCCTTGAGTGTGGCTCTTCCATAAAATACCACGTGCTGGTTTACATGTACAGTGTGATTGAAACTTCGTGGCCCATGCGCAGAAGTAGGTTTTTGGCCTGGGCGAGTCTATTTTGAAGAAGTGGCATTAGAACACTCAACGGGCCAAAGAGCTGAATGTGGCTCACAAGCCACGGTTTGCCAACCACTGTCCTAAACAGATGACCCTCCATCTGATGTACTGACAGGTCAACAGTAGTTTTGTTATATCACAGAATCTACATCATTCACCTCATTTTATGTTATCAGATAGGCATTATATCATCTCACATAATTATTAGTAAAAAGGAGGTGACTACGGTATTTAAAAAAAGAGCTAACATGCTAATTAGACTAAACAGCAGGATGACGTCCAGATGAAGCCAGGGCTGCGAGGGCCAAGGCAGCCCGGGCTGAGGGCAGAACCCCTGGCATGAATTTTGTGCACTGGGCCTCTAGAATGACAAGATATTTAGAGAAAGAAAGAAACCATTTTCACAAAACTTCCATTACAGTGTATCATTGTCTTTTATTATTAGTTATTATTGTTAATCTTTCACTGTGCCTAATTTACACATTAAACTTTAGCGTAGGTATCCTATATAATAAAGAGGTCATATGCAAATTGACCATCACTCCAACACACAAGATGGCCACCCTTATGTGGTCAAAGATGGCTGCCCCATGTGGACAGAAGATGTCCAGCAGGAGAGGGCAGTTATGGGTGATCAGGCCTACAGGGGAGAGCAGTTAGGGGAAATCAGGTTGGAAGGGGAGGGCAGTTAAGGGTGACCAAGATGGCAAGGTAGGGAAGTTAAGGGTGACCAGTCCAGCAAGGGAGGGCAGTTGAGGGTGACCAGGCCAGCAGGAGAAGGCAGTTAGGGGCAATGGGACTGGCAAGGGTGCAGTTAGGTGACTATCAGGCTGGCAAGGGAGTGGTTAGGGGTGATTAGACTGATAGCAGAAGTGGTTAGGGGCAATCAAGCAGGCAGGCAGGCAAGTGGTTGGGAGCCAGCAGTCCTGCATTGTGAGAGGGATGTCACAGATTGGAGAAGGTACAGGCTGGGATGAGGGACAACACCCCCCCCCCCTTCCGTGCACGAATTTTGTTCACTGGGCCTCTAGTATACATATAAGAAAAAATATTGTATATTTTGTGTTCGGTATTATCATGGTTACAGACATCCACTAAGAGTCTTGAATGTATTCCCAGCAGACATGGAAACTACTGCATCACTTATAGCAGTGTTAGCTATAGTCATGTTCTACATTATATCTCTCTTACTTATTTGCCTAATATCTGAACTTTGTGCATTTTGAGAATCTTCCTTTAATACCTCTCTCCTCCAGCCTCCCACCTTTGGCAACCACAAATTTGACCTCTTTTTCTATGAATATTTTGTTGTTGGTTTCATGTACTACTTAAGAGATCAGACAATATTTGATAATTATGGCTTTATAGTAAGCTGTCAGAAGAAAGGGCGCCTGGAGGGACTGGATGACAGATGAAAGAAAGTGAAGGGATTAGCCAAAGAACATACAGACACAACTCACACACACAGGCAGCGTGTGGTGATAGCCAGAGGGAAGGGGAGAGAGGGCGAGGCCTAGGTGGAGGTGGACAAAGGTGGGGAAAATGGAACATCTGTTCTAGAGTCAACAATAAAAAATAAAAGGTGTTGTGTTTTTTTTAAAGAAATTGAAGCATACATCTCTAGAAACTAAAAATGGAAAAACTATAATTAAATCCAAATGAAGATAGCAAACCACACAAAAAAATTCAAAACCAAGAAAAGAAGAAACAAGAGTAGAGAGAATCAACAAGGTCAGAGTTATTCTCATTGAAAATGATAAAATTGATAAGATAATTGAAAAAAACTAACAAAATCCAAATCTTGCATTATCTAGAGTAAACAGGGGAATAGCCTTATCCTATTTATAGATAGTAAGTAGATAATAAAGCCACATTATGAGTACATTTGTCTACATTAAATTTTTTTAAATATGAAAATGCAGTGCAACAAATGGAAACTTCAGTATATCTAGCATGTAGTATAAGAATTGAGTTCATTTTATGAACGTTCCTACAAACACTTTCTTCAAGCCCCACTGGCATTAAGACAGAAAAAAGTTAAGTAGATGGAGGAGGAAGTGAGACCAGGAACCCAACTGGCAGAGTGACTAAGACACCCGTTCTGGGGTAGGAAGGAAGGGTGCAAGCCAGAAGCATGAACTTTAAAGTGGAGGAATGTTACTAGGAAGTCAAGACCAACAAGAGTACAGATACCCAATCACAAGGCAGTGAGGCAAGCATACATAGACAAAACAAACAAACAAACAAACAAACAAACACAGGTTCCCTTCCGTTTGCCCAGCTTAGAGCTCAATGGGTACCTGACCCTCCTGTTCCTGGGGAGCACATCCTCCATGACCACGTGGCTTATGGCCATATGGGCCTCCACACATGGACTAACAGAGTTTAATTAGCTTGGATACTAAACTACTCCCGACTGTAACATGGAGAGGAAGCTCTGGACACAAGCCTACTCCTGGAACCCTGGCTACTTCTGTCCCAGGACTGGCTTCTCCCAATACACTCTGGTTCCATTAATCCTTGTTGTCTGCAACTTCATTCTTTGCTTTTCATGAGACAAGAAATGAGACTCAAAACACCTACATTTTTGGTTTCAGCATCAGTAATGAAAAATAACATTAAAAATATAACAGTACTCTCATACAAAGGCTTCCAGGAAATAGAAATGCTTTTAATATCGCCTTGATATAAAAACCTGTCAAGTACATGAGAAATAAAAACTCATTCTCAACTCTTTGTGAACCTGGATGAAAGAAAAACAACTTAATCTAAGTGTAATATATGCATTGAATTTTGAAGAAGGACAATACGAAATAACCACTGTGGTTTTATTTCAGAAATGCAAGGTTGGTTTAACATTTAAAACAAATAAAGGTAGTTTTTTTCATAAACATTATACAGAGAAAACATTTATCATTTCAACTGACGCAAAAATAATAAAAATGTAACATCATTATAAAAATATATTAGAATAATAGCAATATTAAGGAATTGCTTTTATATGAGAAAGGTCTGATGAAAAAAAACAACTAACTTTAAAACAAACCTCATACTTAAGGATGAAATATTTAAATATGGTCCCCCAAAATAGAGGATACAGCCAAAACTGGTTTGGCTCAGTGGACTGAAAGGTCCCATGTTTGATTCCGGTCAAAGGCATGTACCTTAGTGGAGGGTGTGCAAGAGGCAGCTGATTGATATTTCTCTCTCATCAATGTTTCTAACTTTCTTTCTCCCTCTCTCTTTCTCTCTGTAAAAAGTCAACAAAATATATTTTTTTAAAAGAAATATTTAAAAAATAGAGGATAGATACAGCACTTTTATTCTTTTTATTTTTTTAATATATTTTATTGATTTTTTTTTGCGCCCCTCCTTCCCTCCCACACATCCCCTCCCTCCCCAGAGTTTTGTGTCCATTGGTTGTACTTATATGCATGTATAAAAGTCCTTCGGTTGATCTATTATCTCTCCCAGATCTTCCTCCCCTCCCCGCTGTAATTTGACAGTCTACTTGTTGATATACTGTCTCTATATCTATCTTTTGGTTCATCAGTTTAAAATGTTCTTTAGCACTTTTACTATCCTTACTATTCAACATTGGAAATAAAACTGTAACCTATGAAAATAAGTCAAGAAAAGAAAATAATTACACCAGGAATGAAGAAATAAAATAACTCTTCATATATACTATGTGGAAGAACGTATATTTGAAATGATAGGATTAATAGAAAAATCAATAGCAAACCTCAACTGCATTTATGTTTAAAACAGCAAAAATTACTAAAGAAATTTTTAAATAAGTATACCATTTACAAAATCATAACTATAGAAGAATCATATTTCTTTGACTTCAACATAGAAAATTTTTAAACATAGTAGAGAAATTAAAGAAAGCCTAATAAAGCATGATATTGATTCAAAGAATCAATATTATAAAATGAGATCTTCATAAATTATTTAAAGTTTAAATGCAGTCTCTAACATAACCTTAAGTTGTTGTTTTTTAACAGCTGCACTGAGGTTTAATTTACAAAGCAAAAGAAAAAAAATCATCCATGTAGAGTATATATGTTAGTGATTTTTAGTATATTCAACCGAGTTTGCAACTATCACTACTAACAAAATTTAGAAAGTGCCCGGCCCCCAAAAGTAACAGTGTACCAATTAGCATCGTTTGTTATTCCTATCTCCCTTCAACCTTTGGCAACCACTAACCTACTTTCTGCCTCTGTGGGTTAGCCTTTCCTTGATAACACATATAACATGACTCACACAGCATAAGATCTTTTAGAAATGTTGAATGCCACAAATATAACATTGACCAAAACACATCAGACACTAAAATCAATGAATATATGCACTTTCGGATGTGTATGTTATTGTCCAAAAATTGGTATAGAAAATTATTTCATTATTAGAACAAGTGATATAATTCATTTGAAGATATATGCAATCATAATGTTATTTCCATTTTATGAAAATAAAGTTACCTGAGAGAATCCAAACTCAGGCGTTTTAACTCTGAAGCTTATGCTTACAGCTAAATAGTTTTGAAGCTCCACAACTCCATGATGTGAGGCCATATGGATTTAGCAGAGCACAGCCACCTTTACCAAATGATAAGTCTTCTATTCTGTAACGGAGAAAAATGCATTTTTTTTGTTGTTATTGTGTGGGGCCAATCTATGAAGCAATAAATAGCATTTCCCATGTAACTGCAATCAGAAAATATTTTGAAAATGGGTAATGATATTTTTCATAGAATATTATAATAGTAAGAGTTGGTTATTAGGAAAATTAGTCATTCTTTAAATTTATATCAACATTTCATCAACTTTGACAATCATTCTTCATGTGTATAATTCAACTTAAACAAAACATCAATAATACTCTTCAGAATTTTTCTTTTTTGAATTTTCCTTTTATATAGCATTTAAAACTTACTCTAGTTTGAAAGTTGAACCATTTATCAACATCCAAGGATGATCACTGCTGGTACGAAAAACTCCAATCCATGATGGAGGAAATATGGAACTCAGAAATTCCTACACCAAAATAAAGAATTTTTATTTAAATAATAATCATGAAAGTTTATCTTTTTAAAGCAAGTAGGGTATTCTCTCAAAAAAAAACCCTTCATTTTTAGAACAAAATAAGATTGTTTTATCCTAATCTGACACTAAATAAATATGAAGACTTTTTATTAAAGATATATTAAAAGTACTTTTCATATTTTCAAAAACTTTCAGCAATGTTTATACATTTGATTTAAAATTAACCCAAATATTTATGTTTAAAAGTCTCATTCTTCTTAAGTTAATTAAAAAAATTCTGATTCATGTAATTTAGTAGTTACCCACGTTGACAAAACTAACATAACAGAGCTTTAAATAAGTTTCCAAATATTTAAAGTATTTGATACCTGACTAAGTCAATGTTATTTTCTACTATTCCTCAGATATCAGGATTTTTTTAAAGAAGGAATTGTAATTAAGAAAATAAATGACATGAAAGCAGAAGAAAGGAAAGAAAGAAAGAAAGAAAGAAAGAAAGAAAGAAAGAAAGAAAGAAAGAAAGAAAGAGAAAGAAAGAAAGGAGGAGAGAGAGAGCTAGAGAGAAAGAGAAAGAAGAAAGAAAAAGAAATAAAAGAAAGAAGAACAGAAGAAAAGAGAAAGAAAGAAAGAAAAGAGAAAGAAAAGAAAGAAAAGAAAGAAAGTAAGAGGAAGAGAATAAGAAAGAAGAAAGAAGAAAGGAAGAAAGAAGAGGAAGAGAAGGAAAGGAAGAGAAGAGAAGGACAAGAAAGAAAAGAAGAAAGAAAGAAAAAGGAAAGAAAGAAAGAAAGAAAGAAAAGAAAGAAAGAAAGAAAGAAAAGAAAAGAAGGAAGGAAGGAAGGAAAGAAGAAAGAAAGAAAGAAAGAAAGAAAGAAAGAAAGAAAGAAAGAAAGAAAGAAAGAAAGAACAGAAGGAAGGAAAGAAGGAACTGAGAGAGGGACGGAGAAAGGGAGAGAGGGAAGGAGGGAGGGTGGAAGGGATGGAGGAAGTAAGGAAAGAAAGGAGGGAGGGAGGGAGGCAGGAAGGGAGGAAGGAAGGAAAAGAGAGAGGGGAAAAGATTCTCCGTGTCTCACAACATTCTTTAACCAGATAAACCCAAATTGACCTGTTTCTGTGTTGATGGAATCCAGTGGTCCAGGTGTCAGAGACTCATATCCCTGCTAATTAGAACCATAAATTCTGGAACTAATTAATGAGAGACATGAGTAAAGGAGAGCCCTGAAAGGTGAAATGAGAAAGAGTAAAAGGTTCGATACTCCAGGATTAGGAAACACAGAGTGACAGGGTATCTTATATCCCACCCAACAGCAGGAAGTATTTGCAATACCCAACCTAGAAATAGGACATGGCTCAAGAAAGCCATTCCTCCTCTGTGTTGCAGAGGAATTTTGCCCTGCAACAGCAGGCAAGCCTAGGAGAGTGATCCACCAGGACGCCTGCTGAAAGGCAACCAGAGAAACCAGGACAGGCCAGGCAGAGGAGGGACCAGCGAAAAGGAGCCGATGACTAAGAGTAACGGACCCAACAAGGCTCTTTATTCTGGAGGCCACGAGACTCACGTCCCCAGTGAACGACAACAGAGAGAATGGATTTTAAAATGTCACAGTCACGTAACTCAGCAGTGAAAATGAACAAACTGCAGATAAATGCAAGAGAGATGAAATGCAACAACATCATATGGGAATCAGAAGAAACAGGAAGAAAATATGTTACTGTACGATTTCATTTCTATGAGTTTCAAAAACAACCAAAGAGACTCTATAATATTAAAGGTCAGCACAGTGGGTAAGTGATAGGGCAGGAGAGATGATGAGAGAATACACAGGAGCAGGGCTGCTAAGGAGCGCAAACTCTGTTTTGTGATCTGATTTGCAATTATATGGTTCCATTGCCCTTGCAATCCATGTGTTCAATTATTTGTTTAGTATCCTTGATAGAAGGTAAAATTAAATGGCAAAGTTCGTTTTAGAAATCAAGCACTTATAGAAGCACAGTTTTCTATAAAAAGCAAGACTGGAGATTACTAGTATAAAAATGAAAAATAGTATGAAGTCAAAGTGGAATTTTATGTAGACTTTAAATAACTACAACTATGTACAAAAATGTGAATTCTACCAATATACTATTGACTGAAATAAGCCCTAAGTAAAGTATATGAAATGTTTAACATCTTACCTTTTCTTCTTCATTATCTATGTAAAGCAGAGTAGAGTTCTTAGAAGCACAGGCCTGCAAACTCTCATGCCATGTTTTATTTTCAGTGCTAATGTAATAGCAATTGTTGGAATATCTAAACCACTCCAGTGAACAGTGATCACAATGATGTGCTAAAGAAAGATTATAAATTACTATCCAATAGCAATTTGAAGTTTTAAAAATAAAAATTAACTTACTTACATAGATATAAATACATAGGTACATAATATATCTATGCACATATAAAACAAAACACTCTCATACACTCACTCACAGAAAATGGTCAGCCAGATATTCCCTAATTTATGTGCCCATATAATGCAAACACAGAAACAAAAATATCCACTCTATACATGTCCTAAAGGTCGATGAATGAAACTACTTTTTAAGAATGGTGAAATTACTTGTCTTTTATTATATTATAGCAGTAGGAAATTTAAGCCAAACAGCAACAATGGGTGTGGGAATTTAAAATTAAAGTTTCTTCATAATGTTGCAAAAGAAGGACCACTCTCTTATAATAATTATTTATGAACATTTATTGCTCATTTTATAATTTATGTTCTCCCAAAAGAGTCTATTATCATTGTTGTCTCGCCTAACATAGAGACAAAATATAAACTTTGCTAATATCAGAACTTTGAAAATCATTATGTACCTTTCTGGATCCTTGTTATTTGCAAATCATTGTTCTTCTCCGGTATTATTACAATAGCTAAAAGAAAAAAAATTAAAATAATTATTAAAATATCAATTAATCTAAATAAAGCATAACAATTTTTGTTTCTAAGTTTGAAGTTAGTTGTTGTGTTGTTTAGGAGGAGAATTATCTGTAATAAAATTGATTTTACCAAGAAAAATTAATACAGTAATAAAGAGTTAGAGGAAAATATTTTAAAAGCCTCAAGAACCAAACTTCACCATCTCTTACAGTATGGTTCAACCAATCTCAACATGAATTTATATTTCTTTATAAGGTCTTTCATTCTCCTAAAGCATGTCTTTGAGATGAAATCAAAATATATGACTATATGTAAAATACTCTTTACAAACATTATGTTACTTATGCATTTGTTAAATTCAGAATAACCATTCCACATTTATTCTAAATGCATGCTTTAAAATGAAAATTCTAATTCCATAATATTATGAACTGTTTAGAGCACACATGTCAAACACAAGGCCCGCGGGCCAAATCCGTCCCGCCAGGCCTTGCAATGTGGCCCGCACCGCGCTGTCATCACTGCACTCCGCTGCGTTCCATCACAATGACAGTTTATGACTGTTCAGTAAACCATTCGGCCCGCGATTTAGGCTGGATTTTAGATTTTGGCCCCTTCTCTGATTGAGTTCGACACCCCTAGTTTAGAGGCACTGGTGATCATTAAAATGAAAAGTGCTGTATAGTCTTACAAAAATTTACTTACAGGGAATGACAGTGATTGTCACCACAGCGGACATCAGGACAAGGCAGATGACCCCTAGAGTCCCAGCAATGAGCTTCTCTAGAGGTGATGGTGAAACTGCAGGAAGAGAAAAGGAAACATTGAGAAAGGAGAAAGAGAGACCATTTGTTTAGAGAGTTTACATACAGGGTATCAAATACATAAACTTGGGCACCAAGCCCATCCCTACCACTGTAATCTTCCTCTCAGAACATGCCATTGCATTTTCAGGAGATACAATGCTCAATGAATTGTTGGCCAAAGACTACACCTTACAGCCCTCAGCTTTTGTCTGAGAATTCTGTATTCTAACTTTAAGCGCTGGTTCTCACAAATGAAAAAAAATATGCGAGCTAATGCCCTACTTTCCCCCACATCCCTGCACCCCAGCTGCACACACTAGAACAGTTAGACTGTGTGTCTATTGAATGCGTTACCTTTGGAGCTGTCCTTCTTGTCCCTCCCTTGAAGATCCCGGGAAGCATTTCCAAGAGTTAAATCTGCGTAGGTTATTTCCTGCTCAGTTACTGGAGTGCAGCTTTGAGTGCCCTTAGGTTTCCTTTGCTGTCTCTTGGTGGACTTGGCCAAATTCAGTTCTGCATAGGTTACACTTTGGTTATTCATCTCTGCAGGTGGGTGATGAGGTAAGTGTGTGTATGAATAACCGGTGTGCGTGTAATGTAGAGCTCCCTCACAGGAAAACTGGGTGGGGTAGAGGTTGAGTATTGAGCTCATTTCTAGAATCTAAAGTTCTGGTTCTAAATTTCCTAGAAGTTTAAACATGTGTCTCATAGTAAAGCACATTTTAAAATATATTCTCTTCTCACACATCTAGTGGAAATAATGAACAACATAAACTGATGAACAAAAACAGACCCAGAGAAAGAGAAGCAGCAATCAGACTCTCAAACCTCAGGGGGAAAGTAGTGGAGGGTGGAGTAGGGGGAAGAGAACAACCAAAGGACTTGTGTGCATGCATATAAGCCTAACCAGTGGCCATGGACAACAAGGGGGGGGGGGTGTGCATATGTGGGGAGGGGTATGGGATGGGAATGGGGGGGTAAGGACAATTATGTGATACCATAATCAATAAAATTAAATGTATATATATATATTCTCTATCTTTGTCAATATGTTATTTGTTGGAGCAATAAAAACATAATTGGTGAGGAGTACAGACATACATGAATAATAACATCTCATTAATTTAAAGTCACAGAAGTATTTTGACACCATTAGAATGCCTGTCATAGAAATTAAATGTTTTATTAGAAAAAAAGAGACACAATATTTATGAATATTTTGAAATCCCATAGTAAAAACCAAGTGCTCTAAGGGTGGAGCATATACATTAATTTCCTACACTGAATTGCATTTATTTAGTTACTTGCATTTATTTATTGAAGTGGTTACCATAATGTCTTTAATTTGAATGGCTGGTGAGTTCTGAGAGATAAGTAAAAATTTAAAGATATATGTTATATGTTGAAAATGTTACATAACATACTAAACTTACCTATAACCTAAAAAATAATAAAAATATACAAGAAAATATTTTCAAATAATTATTTTTTTAAAATAATTGATTTAATGGGCATGATATAAACCCAAAAGATGATGAAGTATAGGCCCTTGATGGAATAACATTGTTGGTTCAAACTTTCAAAAAGACCCTTTGGTTGTTTATGTCTGTGAAAGTCACTTTAGTTGTGTAAACAATTGCAGTAATCTAGATAATGTAATTTAATAATCCAGTCAATGGGCTCTATAGTCAGAGAGACAGAAATTAATTCCTGTCTTTGAAACTTGCAATGTGTGACCTTTAAAAATTGACCTATTGACATGTAACCTACTTTACTAATCAAAAATAGAATAATATGTAAGATACAATATATTGCATGTAAAATTTAGCACTCCACCTGACACATAAACTCTCAATAAATGTTTATTTCCTTCAGTATTATTTTAGTCACAATTTCCAATGTATATTCATGTTTCATGTTAGTTATACACTGTAAAATACTTAAGTAAGCAGGATTCTCTTTAATTAGTAAGGCTGATCTTTTTTGCACTGTTTGTTCAAATTTTTATAAAGTATTTTGACTGTTTATCAGTAAGTTTAGTTTAGCACTTTTACAGAAGCTACTTCATCCTGATTTTTAGTAAAAATCAAGCTGCTTTTAATCAATCTCAATAAGTGTATAAGAAATTATGTCTGGCCTGCAACATTCAATGAACTCTTTTTTAAAGTATCTATTTAAAAGCTTGGGCAAAATATAAATTAATATATTATTATGCCCCCCAAAAAAAATCCCCTTGTAATTATAACAAAATCCGAAACTAATTATTCCTTCTCATGTTTATAGGTTTCACTTTAAATTATTTTGATTTATAAACCCAATTATGCATGTGTGTATGCACTTTATTAATTTCCTACAGGCACTTATTTGAACACTTTAAGAAATATTTCAGCCGAAACCGATTTGGCTCAGTGGTAGAGCGTCGGTCTGCAGACTGAAGGGTCCCGGGTTCAATTCCAGTCAAGGGCATGTACGTAGGGATGTGCAGGAGGCGGCTGGTCGATGTTTCTCTCTCATCGACGTTTCTGGCTCTCTCTCTCTCTCCCTTCCTCTCTGTAAAAAATCAATAAAATATATTTAAATATAAAAAAGAGAAATATTTCAACATATTTCATATTTTATGGTTGCTTCTTACCCTGAATTATTCAAATAAAAACACTAATGTTCCACTTTGATTTTGTTGTATATTAATTGCTTCTCACAGCTAGCCTTTGTTTTCTCCCCCTGTATGAAATGGGCTGTTATGAATCCTTTAGGGATGCTCACAAAAGAGCCCAGTCATAGCTGGGTAATAAAAGGAGAATTTAAAAACATAAATTCAGGACCAAAATAAACAATATCTGTAATCTTCACAGATTGCCCTTTAAAGACTCAGGGTGAAGCAATAGTGGAAAAAGTAAACACCTTATCAATATGTCACTTAAGGTTTGAAAAGGTAATTCTCACACTTTGGCTATTTTGAAATCAGTTTATCACATCACACATCTCCAGAATATAACAATCACACCTCTAAGTATGTCATCTAGAGTGTTCGTTTTCAAATTCCTCTGAGAAATTGTCTTCATTTTCTACAAATATGGGGGTCACTGAGGCTTAACCACCATGCAGTTCATTTGTTTCCATTGCAGTCACAAACACGGAAAAAGTATGTCTGTTAAGTACCTTAAATCTAAGTCTTGATAAAGCTTGCTAAATCTTGGCATTAAATACTTCTTTTTCTTATATCCTTATTATTTCATTTGTATTATCATAGAAAATTTTCTTAAAATCCCAATTAATTATCACTAAGTATTTAATGGTATTCATCACTATTCTGAGAAATTATCAAATTTTTAACTATATTGTACCTGTCACCATCATTTCCAAAATAACATATCTATTGCTCTGACTCAGTTGTTTTTAATTTTATTTTTTAATTACAGTTTATATTCAATATTATTTTTTTATTAGTTTTAGATGTACAACATAGTGGTTAGACAATCATAGACTGAACTAAATATTTTCCTCAATATTGAAAGTATGGTTAAGGCATATTGAATTAATAACCTTGAATGGGGGAGGGGGGGTGGAAAAATAAAAAATATATATTTACTCTTAAAGAATGTTTTAAAATAATGCATATTTGAAATTACAAATAGAAAAATAAATAGTGAGTGATAGATTTTGACCCAAACAAATAATGTTAAATATCCTATCTAATAAAAAAAACATGCAAATTGACCATACCTCCACTATACACACAAGCCATACTCACCAGCCAATCAGGAGCGAGTATGCAAATTAATCCAACAAATATGGCAGTGGCCATGGAACTGGAGCAAGCAGGAGGCTTGGGTTGCCTCAGTGGTGGAGGAAATCAAGCTTCCCGCCTGCCCTGGCCAGCCCTAGCCTCTGCTCAAGGTTACAAAGTTTCAATTATAGAAAATAAATAAATACCAACAAAAATGACAGCAGCCACGGAGCTGGAGAAAGCAGAAGGTTTGGGTTGCCCCCAGCAATGGAGGAACCCAAGCTTCCCACTCACCCTGGCTGGCCCTGGCCTCCACTCAAGGCTACAAAGTTTCAATTATAGAGGATAAATAAATCCCATATACCAGGGTCTCCGCTTGGTTGCTGAGGGGGATGGTTGACCTGCAAACCACCACAAGCCCCTCACCCAGGCCACCCCATGCTCCAAAGAAACCCCCACCCTGATCCAGGACACCCTTCAGGGCAAACCAGCCAGCCCCCACCCGTGCACCAGGCCTCTATCCTATCTAATAAAAGTAATATGCAAATTGACCATCACTCCAACACACTAGATGGCTGCCCCCATGTGGTCAAAGATGGCTTCCCCCATGTGGACACAAGATGGCTGGCACAAAATGGGCAGCAGAGAAGGGCAGTTGGGAGGGACCAGGCCAGCAGGGGAGGGCAGTTGGGGGCAATCAAGCCTGCAGGGAGGGCCGTTAGGGGCAATCAGGCTGGCAGGGAAGCAGTTAGGCATCAATCATGCTGGCAGGGGAATGATTAAGGGGGTGATCAGGCTGACAGGCAGAAGCGGTTAAGGGCAATTAGGAATGCAGGCAGGCAAGCAGTTGGGAGCCAGCAGTCCTGGATTGTGAGAGGGATCCCAGATTGGAGACAATGCAGACTGGTCTGAGGGACACACACCCCATGCATGAATTTCATGCATTGGGCCTCTGGTCTATATATATATATATATATATTTTATAAAAGCCTAAGTGACTGGATGATGAGACAACCAACCAGTAGCTATGATACGCACCAGAGAGCAAATGCTCAATGCAGGAGCTTCCCCCAGGTGTGCTACTCAGCTGACACATGGGCGCCAGACACTGGGCTGACAGCTGGCAAGAGCAGCTGTGGTGGCACAAGCCTCTCCAGCGGACACGCCCCCTGTGCACCCTAGCAGCCAGCAGCAGCGGCAGGTGGCAGGCACAGCAGGACCAGGATGAGTGGAACTGATACAGCACCCAGCCCAGGCTCAGACTCCTCCCTGGCCACCTGCTGCTTCGTGCACTACTTCGTGCTATGTGTCATCGACTGGACAGCAGGCTGGAGCCAGACGAGCTGGCACGTAAGGCTGGGCTGCGTTGGTGTGGAGGTCTACTGACATAGGTCAGGCTGAGGGACCCCACCAATCCATGCACCAAGCCTCTAGTAAATAGAATAATTTTCTATTCAAATATGAAACATGCCTTCCGGATATAGCTATGTTATCACAAATGGTGGATTTTCTTTGTTTTTTTAATTTACATTTTTTAAATTGAGTTTGTTGGGGGTGACCTTGGTTAATAAAATTACATATTTCAGGAGTACAATTCTATAATACATCATCTGTATATTATATTGTCTGTTCACCACCCTAAGTTAAGTCTCCTTCCATCACCATTTACCCTCCCTCCCCCCCCCTTTAACCTGTCCTGTCTCTCCCCCCTCCCTCCCCCCCACTATACTTTCTGTCTGGTAATAACCATACTGTTGTCTATGCAGGTTCTTTTTTTCTTTTTTTCTTTTCTTAATTCTTCCACTTTTTTCACCCAGAGAGAGTCC